CATCAGTGATGAGAGAGAATCATTGATTGGCTGCCTCTGCATGTCCTGCACTGGGGATTGAGCCCGCAGCCTGCGCATATCCCTGACCAGGGAAACAAACTGACCTCCATAGGTCACCACTCAACTACTGAGCCATGCCGGCCGAGTTCTCATCTATAATCTACACTAATAAAAGACAAACATGAAAATTGACCGTACCTTTCGCTATGCCTTAAGCCACGCCCACCAGCCAATCAGAGCGACTATATGCAAATTAACCCAACCAAGATGGCGGTCGGCAGCCACAGAGCTGGAGTAAGCAGGAGGCTTGGTTGCCCCAGTGATGGAGGAAGCCAAGCTTCCCGCTTGCCACGGCGGGCTCTGAACTCCACTTAAAGCAACAAAGTTTCAATTATAGAAGACAAATAAACCCCAGATACCTGCTTTCAGCAGGCTGTGGCCATGGAGCTGGAGCGAGCAGGAGGCTTCCCTCCACCCGCTCTGGCCGGCTCTGAGCTCCTCAAGGCTACAAAGTTTCAATTATAGAAGGTAAATAAATCCCAAAATAATAAAAAAAAAGAAAAAAAGGAGAGGCTGGGAGCTTCCGTCGCCAGGGGGCCTGGCCAGCCTGAAAACGGCCCTCAGCCCCTCACCCAGACTGGCCAGGCACCCCAGTGGGGACCCCTCACCCTAAAGGGGGTGTGGCCAGCCTGCAAACAGCCATCAGCCCCTCACCCAGGCTGGCCAAACCGCCATGGGGTGAGGGTCCCCAATTGGGGGGGCTTGACCAGCCTGCAAACAGCCATCGGCTCCTCACCCAGGCTGGCCAGGCACCCCAGTGAGGACGCCACCCTGAAGGGTGTGTGACCAGCCTGCAAACAGCCATCAGCCCCTCACCCAGGCTGGCCAGGCACCCCAGCAGGACCCCCACCTGATCCGGGACACCCTTCAGGGCAAACCAGCTGGCCCCCACCCATGCACCAGGCCTCTATGCTATATAATAAAAGGGTAATAGGCAAACTGACCCTAACGGCAGAACGACTGGGAATGACTGGTCACTATGACACACACTGACCACCAGAGGGCAGACGCTCAATGCAGGAGCTGCCCCCTGGTGGTCAGTACGCTCCCACAGGGGGAGCTCTTGCTCAGCCACAAGCCAGGCTGATGGCTGCCAGTACAGCGGTGGTGGTGAGAGCCTCTCCCATCTCCTCAGCAGCGCTAACGATGTCTGACTGCAGCTTAGGCCTGCTCCCCGCTGGCAAGTGGACATCCCCTGAGGGCTGCCGGGCTGCCAGAGGGATTTCTGACTGCCAGCTTGGCCCCATCCCCCAGGGAGCGGACCTAAGCCAGCAGGTATACATCCTTCGAGGGGTCCCAGACTGCAAGAGGGCATAAGCCGGGCTGAGGGACCCCCCCGAGTGCACAAATTTTTGTGCACCGGGCCTCTAGTAATCTATAATAATAAAAGTGTAATATGATAATTAGACCGGACGTCCTTCCGGACTTAGCTGTAGCAGTGGGGTCCGGCAGGGGCCAAGGCAGAGGCGGCCACTGCAGCAGGCAGGAGCCAAGGCAGAGGCGGACACCGCAGTGGTGGAGGCTGAGCCGCTTACACAAATTTTGTGCATCAGGCCTCTAGTCTTTTTAATAATAGGCATCTTAACAGTAACAGGTATGAGGTTTTGATTTGCATGTGCTTAATGATTAGTGATGTTGAACACCTTTTCATATACCTGCTGGCCACTTGTATGTCTTCCTGAAAATGTTTATTCAGGTCCTTTGCCCATTTTTTAAATTTAATTTTTTGGGATTATGGATACTAACCATTTTTTAGATATGTGGTTTGCAAATATTTTCTCCCATTACCAGGTGGTTTTTTCATTTTGTGACAATTTCCTTTTTTCTATGGAAGCTTTTTAGTTTGATATACTCCCATTTGTTGATTTTTGCTTTGGGTATAAAATCCAGTTATTGCCAAGACCAATGTCAAAGAACTTACCCCTATGTTTTCTTCTAGGAGTTCCATGGTGTCTTACACTCAAGTGTTTAATAAATTTTTAGCTTATTTTTCATTCCCCCCACCACATTTTATGGTTTTGATCTCACAATTTATATCTTTTTATATTGTGTATATCCATTAACAAATTATTGTAGTTAGTTATTTTCAATGCCTTTGTCTTTTAACCTTTATACTAGAGTTGTAAGTGACTTACCCACCACCATTACAATATTAAAGTACTCTGAATTCAACTATATATTTACCTTTATCAGTTAGTTTTATCCTTTCTTATGTTATTAACTAGAGGCCCAGTGCACAAAATTTGTGCACAGGTAGGGTCCCTAGGCCTGGCCGGCAATCAGGACCAATCGGCCTTCCTTCCAGCTGCCAGCCAAAGACTCCCTTCCCAGGCTGGGGCCTTCCTTCATTCCACACCGCCCCTTGGTGGTCAGCGCACGTCACAGCAAGCGATAGAACTCCCAGTCTCCCAAACTCCCACGGGGACACTTTGCATATTAGCCTTTTATATATATAGATTAGCATTTTTTTTTCAACTTGAAGAACTCCCTTTAACTCTTTTTGTAAGGTTGGTCTAATGGTGATGAACTCCTCCAGGTTTTATTTTAATGTAAAACACTATCTTTCCTTCGATTCTAAAGGACAACTGATGTGTAGAGTATTCTTGACTGACAGTTTTTTTTCTTGCATTACTTTGAATATCATCTGGCTTGCAAGGTTTCTGTTGCCATATTTTCTTATAGTCTTACTAGAGGCCCAGTGCATGAAATTCATGCACGGGGGAAAGGGGTCCTCAGCTGGGCTTGCACCCTCTCCAATCCAGGATCCCTCTCGCAATCTGGAACCACTGGCTCCTAACCACTCACCTGCCTGCCTGATGCCCCTAACTGCTCTCCCCTGCTGGCCTGATCCCCCTGACTGCTCTCCCCTCCTGGCCTGATTGCCCTAACTGCCTAACTGCTCCCCCCTGCCAGCCTGATCCCCCTAACTGCCCTCCCCTGCCGGCCTGATCCCCCTAACTGCCTAACTGCTTGCCACTGCCGGCCTGATCCCCTTAACTGCCTATCTGTGCTCCCCACCTGACCTGATCCCCCTAACTGCCTCTCTGCTCTCCACTGCCGGCCTGATTCCCCTAACTGCCTATCTGCTCTCCCTTCCTGGCCTGATCGCCCTAACTGCCTATCTGCTCTCCCTTCCTGGCCTGATCGCCCTAACTGCCTATCTGCTCTCTCTTCCTCTCCACGCCCTTCAGACCCCTGGCACAGGCGTGCTGAGAGCTCTCTGCCGCAGCCCCACCCCCATCCTGATTGGTCATTACATGACGGCATCCTGGGCAATTTGCATATTCCTCTTATTATTAGTATAGATGGGGGATCCCTTATATGTATCAAGTTGCTTTTTCCTTGCTGCTTTTAAGATTCTCTCTTTTTCTGTAACTTTTGATAATGTCATTAGAATGTGCATCAGTGTGGGTCTCTTTAGATTCATCTTATTTTGGTACTTTTTGGATTTACTGGATCTCTATGTCTGTTTCATTCCCCAGTTTATGTCATTATTTCTTTGAACCAGCTTTCTACCCTTTCCTCTCTTTCTCTCTCTTTTTTTTAATCCTCACCCAATGATGTTTTTATTGATTTGAGAGAGAGGGGAAGCGGGCAGGGGAGTGAGAAACAGTGATGTGTTGCCTCCCACACTCACCCTGACCAGCTATCGAACCCACAACCTTTTTTGCTATTCAGCATGATGCTCCAGCCAACTGAGCCACCTGGTCAGGGCTCTCCTCCTTTTGAGACCCCCTATCCTATCTAATAAAGAGGGAATATGCTAATTGACCCTCATGCTGTCGCAAAGATGGCAGTGCCCACAGCCAATAAGGAGGGAATATGCTAATTGACTGTCCCGCCCTCAAAGATGGCGACGCCCAGTCCCCTCAGCCCCGCCGGCGCGCCTGCCTCCGGAGTCCCCTAGTCCCCCAGCCGCCCAGGGCCTGCCCCGAGGTGCAGGAAAACCTCGACTGTCAGCTGCCCAGCCACCCAGGACTGCCCCGAGGTGCAGGCAAGCCTTGGATGGCAGCTGCCCAGCGGTGCCCGAGGCTCAGGTAACCAGGGCCTGCTGAGGCTTGCGCTGATGGCAGTGGCAGCAGCAGAGGTGTGATGGGGGTGTCGCCTTCCCCTGATTGCCGGGTCGCCTCCTGCACCTGAGGGCTCCCAGACTGTGAGAGGGGGCAGGCCGGGCTGAGGGACACCCCCTCCAGTGCATGAATTTTCATGCACCGGGCCTCTAGTAATATATATATTAGTCCATTTATTGTTGTCTCATAGGTCCCTTAAGCTATCTTAATTCTGTTTTATCCCTTTTTGCTCCTCTGAATGGATGACTTCCTCTGCCCTATCTTTAAGTTTACTGATCCTTTCTTTTGCTTGATCTAGTGTACTGTTGAACCCCTCTGTTGAATTTTTCAGTTCAAGTATTATAATCTTCAGCTCTATGGTTTCTATTTGGAACTCTTTATATTTCCTATACCTTTGCTGAAATTCTCTCCTGACTTCAGTGAACATCTTTTTTTTTTTAATTTAAATTCTTTATTGTTTAAAGTATTACTTACATCTCCTTTTTCCCCCATTAACCTCTCCCCAGCCACTCACACCCCCTTCAGTGAACGTCTTTATTACTGTTATCTTGAACTCTATCAGGTAAATCGCTTATCTTAATTTCATTAAGATCAGTTTATAGAGATACATCTTATTATTTTGTTTGGAACATATTCTCCTGTATTTTTGTTTTTCTTGATTCTCTGTGTTGGTTTCTATGCATTATGGAGAACTGCCACTTTTTCTAGTCTTGACAGTGTAGGAGATGAACCTTGTCAATTAGCCCAACCAGAGCTTCCTGCCTCTCAAACCTTTGTGTATGTCTAAGCTGCTATCTTTGTTCTCATTGGCTCTTACTAGTTAAGCGTATGTCAAGACCATACCAAAGATGAGCATTGTAGTCAGCACCTAGATACTGGCTGATTAGATGTCAGGCCCTCAGGCAGCAGCTGTGAAAGTAGGCAGTCAGATCTCTTCCAGGGAGAAACTGGGAAATGGGTCCTTTTGCCTGCTTCCTCTGCATCTGAGCCCAGGTGTATGGCCATGGGGTATGAGATGTTCCGTCCCCAATTTGAAAAGTGTTTCTTTGCTATAGTTCTGTGGAACTTGTGAATGCAAGCCTATTCAGAGCCAGGTGATTTAGGGGACAAGCTCATAAAGGAGCAATTTTACATGAAGTTTTTCAGAGACAGTAATTATATATATACTAGAGGCCCGGTGCACAAAAATTTGTGCACTCGGGGGGGGAAGGGGGGGTCCCTCAGCCCGGCCTGTGCCCTCTCGCAGTCTGGGACCCCTCGGGAGATAACGACCTGCTGGCTTAGGCCTGCTCCTGGGTGGCAGAGGGCAGGCCCAATCCCTAGGTGCAGCCCCTGGTCAGGCTCAGAGCAGGGCTGATTGGGGAGTTGGGGGCGCCGCCCCCTGTCATGCACAGAGCAGGGCGGATTGGGAGGTTGCGATGCCACCCTCAGTCACGCTCAGGGTAGGGCTGATTGGGGGGTTGGGGCACCACCTCCTATCACACTCAAGGCAGGGTCAATGGGGAGGTTTCGGCGCCACCCCCTGTGATGCACAGAGCAGGGCCAATCAGGGGGTTGGGGCGCTGCCCCCTGTCACTCACAGAGCAGGGCCAATCAGGGGGTTGGGCACTGCCCCCTGTCACGCACAGAGTAGGGCCGATAGGGGAGTTAGGCACCGCCCCCCTGTCACACACACAGCAGGGCGATCAGGGGTTGGGGCGCCGCCTTCTATCACCCACAGAGCAGGGCGATCAGGGTTGGGTGCCACCCTCTATCACCTACAGAGCAGGGCCGAATCAGGGTTGGGCGCACACTGTCAACACTCAGGGCAGGGCCGATGGGG